GCGTCAATAAAAACAAATGTTGCTACAATAGTGTCTAATTTGCTTTAAATACAGAATATTGTTGTGTAGACTGCATAGTTTGGTATACATTTTGTGTACCTTGTTTAAAACACACAACAGGATGCATACTATTAAGATTGGTCAATACCTTCAGCCAGACGAATTCAATCCATAACCCCCGTCCCCAGTTCCCTTTATATAAGATCAATTTTTAATATTGTCCATCCATCTAAATCAGGGCCTTCCTAATGGTCCCTCTTTTCTATATTTTCCCACCAAAACTTTGTACGCACTCCTATACTATGCATTCTACATACCCGCCCATATCCTCCCTCTTGGCTTTGTCAGTCTAATAATATTTGACGAGGAGTACAAATTATGAAGATTCTTGTTGCACATTTAGTTACACGGGTGAATGTGAAGTTATACCTTGTTCTTAATCATGTAATTAAGCACTATGACATGAAGGCATACGAGTATGGAGGAGTGGAGGTACAGCTCCATTATTCTTAACCTCAGCAGTAGTGGCAGTCACAAAAAAAAAACTCCGTGGTTTTAGTCCTCAAGCGAACTATACCGACCGAGCCAACGCCGCTTGTCGGCGATGTTAGTGCCAACTTCAGCGGATAGAGTGTGTCGCGTGGTCAGCGCAACGAATTTCTACTGCCGTTAATTTCGGGTTTCTAGACCGGAGCCGCTATTTCCTTGAAATAGTTCCTCAGTTATCCTCACAAGGCTGAATGGACCCCGTTCCAGACCCACTGCTTCTCAGAAAAACTGGTAGTGCCTGGAATGGAACCCGGACCTCTGGATCTGTAGCCATGAACTCTGACCACTAGACCACAGAGGGACATGATATTTTTCGTCCGTACACCTTTCGCTGGTGGGATAATTTACCAGACCCACACTTCATGTTTGAGACTCCAAATATTCTATTACGTTCCAGTATTGGCTCCTCGTACGTAGTGGATCGCGTTAACATTTACCAGTCCCTTAAATCTATTTTGTAAACATTCGGCTGAGAACATCAGAAAACAAATAGCGTCTCAATTGAGTTAGTCGAAGACAGAGAAAGCATCGCTTTTAAAGCTCTTGAACTTATCCATTAAATTATACACAGACTCGTCTAAAGGAAATGAATTGACAGTTTTATGGGTTCCGCGCCTGTGACGACTTCTAAAGTGAAGGCCGGCTTCGAAAACTCTCATTCACTCTACTAAGACGATGGAAGAATCTGGGGATCGCCACCTTATGGCCGTGTATACGCTGACTGTAATTAGCTGTAACTTCTCTGATGTTTTTTATAAAATATTAAAATGGCTTATTAGTTTTAAGTGCGTGTTCTTCCGCGGCGTAGTTGATTGAGGCACTATGCTACAATCAATAGTACAATACTACCTAATCCTTCCAGCCTCAATATGGCCCTGGGGTAGACTCAGCCTCTTACAGAAATGAGTACCAGGAATTAATTAAATAATTTTCCTGGGGAGTAAAGCGCGGCCGGTGCGTAAGGCTGACAACCTTGCCTCCATCTTTGAGCCGATTGTCTAGAAAATGTGGGAGCCTCGACGTCTCACAACCTGTGGGCCTTCACGGCCTGTTACAGGGATAGTTTTACTTTTTTTTTTTAAGTGCGTGTTCTTCTGTGTTATAACGTCGTGTAGTTCAGAGAAAGAGTCAGACGATTCGGAGGTCAATATCCTCTCCGTCTTCATGGTCGAAAAGTAAGATAAGTAATAAACCAGTAGAAACAAGCGCTAAAACCATTCCAGGGTTCTCCTTCCCCCAGTCTGTGCCGCTGTACCAGTATCAGTGTATCAGGTACTACAAACGGAAGTAACAATTTCGATTTTCGGACCGTGTAACAAAATTTACCTCGGTTGCTTTCAGTCTTAGTATAAAACAGTAAACATCTCTGCCCCCTCCTCACGCTCAGTGTCCGTTGCGCATGCGTGTAATGCTGTCGTATCGCTCAATTTCGTTTTGTAACAACGTAGTCAGCCTGCTAATAAGTACGTAGGGTAGACTGACTTTCATCTAGGAATAGCCTTGGCCCTTAGTGCGCAGAAACGGAATATGGAAGAGTGAATAAATGGCGGAGAGAGGGAGACTGACAACAGATGGCAGCAGTTCTGCTGTGTTGTCTGTCGTGCATCCTCTCTTCTCGCGTATGTAGTCAGAACGTTCCAGAATCTTGGTGTACTAGCAGAAAGACGTAAATGTCATGTTCCAGAAACATACGTACATCCGTGAAAACGCGCCATTTTCAGCTCTCAAAATATAAATCTGTGTATACCATTTTCCGCGATAACTGTTTCAGCTCTCAAAATATAAGTCTGTGTATACCATTTTCCGCGATAACTCTTTCGGCTCTCAAATTATAAATCTGTGTATACCATTTTCCGCGATAACTGTTTCAGCTCTCAAAATATAAGTCTGTGTATACCATTTTCCGCGATAACTCTTTCGGCTCTCAAATTATATATATGTGTATACCATTTTCCATGTTCTTTAATATACAAAATTAAGTGCTTGGGGCAAAATTGTCCCTGTGCTAAAATAATTAAGCGCCACGCCACGAAGGCACTAGATGGAGATGAGTGGCCAGTTTCACGCCCCAACCGCTTTTCTTCTGGGAAAAAACGGTACCCATTGGATAGATGGTTGGGTGGGCCCCATAACGGGTCTTGACGACGAGAAGAGAAAAATATCTCACCCCTCTCAGAATCGAACCCCGGGATTACTCTATCGCTGTACCGACTGAGCTATATCGGCTGTCGAATGAAGTGCTTAAAAATTGCTTATGTTCGAAGAGCCTTTGGAACAGATTTCTCGGCTGCTTATACAGTCTAATAGCTATTGTCCTGTTCAGTCATATGTATACTGTCTACCCGCCTTCTACTGTACGGAACATTTTGTTAGTCCATATTGATAAGTTGATAGTAGCTCAGTTGGTCACGAGTTTGCCAAATTACGAAACGATCAAGTGCGTTATAGTGTTGCATTTGAGGTTCTCACAGCGGTGACTACGAGAAGTACAAACTTCTGAGATGTGACGTAGTGTATTCCGGCAAGCTGTAACTGACGCCTGTAGTATGAAATGAATTAGCAATATCACTACGACACAGACTGGAAAATAAGAATTTCCCGGTGAGGGTATGAAGTTCAAGGGTGTCGAAATAGAGAAAAAAGGAAATATTCCCTCCACCTCTCACATAGACTTAACTTTTCTACTCTGAAGATAGAGGCGTTTCGTTCCTCCGAAACGTCGGCGAGCTTCCAGCGGTATTGCATTCCAGAAAATGGTACTGTTCTATGTATATTTTTGTTTATAATATATAGGACCCAATTTAGGCCAAAATTCTGCTTAATTTTCTTGTACTCAGGTATACGTAAGATGTAAAATTATGTTAGTAAAAATATATTCAAGACCATCTACAGAACTATCCATTATTAACGTGTTTTGTTTCAAGCTACAGCCGGTTTCGACCCTACTATTGGGTCTTCCTCAGGTGGTACAATATTTCAAATATTAATTAATGAATTGTCATGCCATATATTTTATTGTACGTGGGTCCGTTTTTCACATTCTTTCATGTATTTTCTATTATCCACTTAGAAATTCATCGCATAGTTGAATAGTAAAATTTATAATATAAATATAATTATGAAATATTGACGTGATAGAAGATTAGAACAAAGTAAAATAAAATTAAAAATAGAAATAACGCATGAGTACAAGGTAAACTACGATAAGCATAGGTGTGCGTGTATGTGGTACGAGTACGTATGTATTGAAACTGGATCCAAAAATCAAAAGATAAAATTATGCTGAACATCATAAGGAAAATTACAAGAAAGAACTAAAAAAAATTAATAATCGTGAATACAATTCATAGGAGCATATTCTCTATAGCTTATCGGTTCTGAAACATAACTTACTTTGGACAGTGTCCATGTTTTTTTTCAAACACGTTTCTCCAACTGGATGTGCTTCCATCATCAGGTGTATGGGAGTACGAACGTCTTCTCTCTTAAACGTGAACACGGAAACAGATCCGGTTTCCAAAACACTGCGCGTGAAACCCTCAACACTATAAACAGTGTTTAAAATAGTGTTTGTTACAACACACTATCGTCAGAAATATTTACACCCATGTTAACTCATGACTTGAGTACATAAATACCGACTCCTAAAACCTTCGTTAAGCGCTTTATTTCCATTTGGGCTATACTTTTAGCAGTTGTTTGTATTTCTCTGTAATTGTTGTAGTTGTTAATCGTATTTGGTTTGTATTCATTGTGGTAGGATGTCCTTATTGTTGTGTTTTGTGTATTGTGTTTTGTTTGAACGTGTTGTCACTTAGTGTAATGTGTGTTACTTGTCTGTTGTGTCCTATTGTGTACTACTGCCAACGGGCTAAAACCCAATTGCAGTATAATAAATAATAAATAATATATATATAATACTTTGCACTTAACAGCAAATTCTCTGTTCATATTGCTAGTAACATTTTCAACAGAATTTCACATGGATGTTTCCCAATATAATTTGAACATGAAGAGTATAGATGGAACGTAGTTAGTCCGATTTAAGTCCACAGACATTTCAAAGGAACACACTGACTCAAATGAATAGAAAATTAAGCATGGAATCAACCTGATTTGCTCCTTAACCGTGAAAATTGAAGCAATACGTTCAAATTTCTACTAGACTACATGGCGTTACAAACGAAAATTATCTTCATGGTTACTTTTGCCAGAACCTCAGATCAAATACTTTTTTAAATAATTCACACGATATATAACACCTTTGAATTGTTACCTTCTATTTCTTGTATCACTCGAAACCAATATTCATGTGTAAAATGACGGTGTGTAGTTGGTATGCAATATAATTTCATGCTATTGATTTTGAATAGAGTCATTGTCAGTATATTCATAAATTAATATAATACATATCCTAAACAAGCTATAGAATTGAAAGTACTGTAACTTACCAGGTGATGTTACGTCATTGTCGTATAAATCACTTGTTGTTCCTCAGAGATGAAGCCAATGTTGTCACAGCATCTTTGGTACTGAAGTATGAAGTTCCGTTTTACAGAACATCTGCTTCAGGTATTACACATAACGAGCTCTGACCATGAACATTTTGGCCTGAGAGTGCATCGCACAAGATGACATCACAAGAGATCTGAAATCTGTGTTGTATAGAGAAGCAATGCCTCTGCTGCTTGTTCTACGCCGACTGAAAACACTGTGTACCCCACCCAGCCATTCACGACGGCGACCGGATCGATAGGAGTGTGCGGGGGTTTGGGGGCAACAACCCCCTCCTGCCCTACACACTTCATCCCTTTACCACTTTCCAAAACGCCATTTTGTGTCGTAAAGAGACAAATACGTAAACAGACGTCGAGTTTAGAAGTATAACTCTTAAACATGTCATAAAGTAAAGTAAAGTGGGTAGCGTTTTCCTGTGTTCACGAAGTCCCGTGTTCGACTCTCGGACCAAGAGGTATTTCGTGGTTTTTGCGAGTCCCTCCAGGCAGACACAATATGATTCTAAATTATTGTCGGCGTCTCTGTGTTTTGTAATCATAGAATCACTATGCACTTCATATTAGACTGCTCCTGTCTCGCTGTATGTCCTTTCCGGTTCACACTCCTTCCTGCAGTTCGATACTCTGTAGTGTGAAATACTGATTACGTAAGCAAATGCATTATAAATAAAATATATTGTGAAATTCTGGGCATCTGTGTCTTGGTTAAGGATAGATCTAACTTTTTATCTCTCATAAAGTATACTCCTCATGTACAGCGTTAGATTTTAAAACATTACACCAGCAGATGTCCAGTACCCAACCAATTACATGCATTGAAGTCTTATTTTTTTTTTCGTCCGTTCATATTATACCCCCTATACGGGTGTCGAGGTCTTTCTTTTGTTCTTTTAAACATTTCACAGTCGATAGGACACCTTGGACGAGTGATTGGCCCGTCGTAAGGCCGCTGCCTAAACACAGGAAAACACAGAAAAACGCATACACATACCAAACATCCATGCCCTGAGTGGGATTCGAACCCACGATCCGGCTTCCGAGCGAGTGAAGACGGTGAATGCCTCAGACCGTTCGGCTACCGTGACCAGCCAGTCTTTATTAAACTCGTAATAGCTACTCAGCTGCTCAAGAAGGTTCCCTCCTTCCATGGAAACCGAAGGCTCATTACCGTGTCCACGAGACCTCTCCGCACGCCCGTCCTGAACCAGTTGAATCCGGCTCACACCCCCACTCTTCTTTAGAACATAAAGCAAGCAGAAGTCAATGTAACACGTGTTATAATAAACACTATTTTAGACCCTGTCTATAGTGTTCAGGGTTTCACGCGCAGTCTTTTGGAAACCGATCTGTTTCCGTGTTCACATTTAAGGAAGGAAACGTTCGTACTCCTATATACCTGATTATGGAAGCAGATCCAGTTGGAGAAACGTGTTAAAAGCCGCCAAGAACGTGGACACTGTCCGAAGTAATTTATGTTACAGAACAATAAATTATCAAGTGTTAGAGTGACTATCGACGGGGTTTTGGATTGGATATTGGATTTATTGATCACAGGCAATTACACCATCATCGCTAATCTCCACAATTCATAAATCACCACAGCAAGAAAGACGCAGCTCCTTAAAGTTACTAGTTGGTATTTAAATATGCCGCTAAAATTTCCTGCTCCTCCTTGATAATATATCATCCGATTCGGCACTAAACTTATGCAGTCCAGAAATAGTCAACCAGCAAACACATTAAGTAATTCGTATGGCAGGATCTAGAAGAATCTCGGTGTGAACAGCCTACTCTTTGCAAGCGCGAAACAGTAACCCAATTATAGGGGATCAGGTTTGAGTTGTTCTTAATCCAGAGGAGATGGAGAGGTGTTTGAGTCGTTCTTAATCCAGAGGAGATGGAGAGATGTTTAAGCTGTTCTTAATCCAGACGAAATGGAGAGGTAATTTCATATGCTCGGAAGAATTAGGGGGCTGGATATTTGGATAGAAGGTAGCATCATAATCAACAGAAATACATAAACAGTAAACTGCCATGAACCTGTGATTTTGGAAATATCACAGTATCAGTTGTTACTCCCTTATTAATTGCCTTCACACGCATGGGGCCTCACCTCTCATTCACAATGAGTGCTGCCTTGTTCATAACTACCTCTGGGAAAAGACCGCAAACGAGCGATTGATTTTATCGGCCTAATTGAAACCGCGAACATTTTGATTTATAGTATGACGTCTCACTTGGGTATTCATGTATGTTTCCAAAACCATGCAACACTTCATTCTCACACATTATGTTTCTGGACATTATCCATCGTTTGGAAATATGGATTACCTCTCTCGATTGAGCCCAACTGAGTAGGTTTGACCTGAAGAAGGAGAGAGAATCTGGTCTCCGAAACGTTGTGTTTAAAAAAATGGAAGGTGTTCTAAATTAAAACAGGACGATGGATAATGTCCAGAAATGTAGTATTTATATGAATGTACCGTCATCATAAACTTTTAGATTTTACGTTATATCTGCTTCAGTTGCGTTCCCTGGAAATGTGATCTTATGTAGAAGAGAATGGATCAATGGAAGTTTCTAGCCCATCCGTGGAAAAAATAGCCATAATTACGAATTTTCCGCACATTTATTTCATTTCAGATCATGGAGACTAATGCGCGCGGCTGTGTGTTAATAGTCAATAGTGTAAATGAGAAGACATTGAGTGTATGGCGGTAATGTTTAAATAATAACTATTAATGATATTTAATAAATGTATGTATATTTTTATTTGTGCTTAAGACCCAACCTCATATCCAGTGAGTAACGAGGGCTCTTTCCCCGGGGGTAAAACGGCCGGGGAATCACCTCCAACTAATGCCGAGGTCAAGAAAACGTGGGTCTATACATCCACTCCCCTATACGCCTTCTTCGCATAATGCTTACTTAGTTAAGTACAGGGACAACTTTGTCTTACCTTACCTTAGGGTCAGATCCCTCAGCCACCCATGTTACAGTTGGTCACATTGTTAATGAAAGATGTGTATCGATGTTTTATTGGTGAAGTCGATAGTAGTCGTTCTGATATTGTTGCAAATTGAAGAAAATTAGAAATGTTGCAACAATCATTGCCTAAAATATTTCATATATATAGAAGCAACACATTGTTAGTTTGACAGGTTTAGTATCTTAGTTAGTTAGTTATTAGAGAGGGTGGGTTTCCCCATGCACTTAGACCTGTAGTGGTCCATTGTGCTTCCCTCTATGATTTCTACCAGTCTCTATATCCTACCGGTATTGGTGCTTACCATCAGTCCCGCCCAGCCAGCGAGACCGGCTCTACTAGCTGAGAGGTACTATAATGCTTCCCCCATCTACCGGAGGTATTAGTGACTGCTGTTGGGCGGCAAACGTCCGCAATTTTGGCTCAGTGACCTCCTTTTTGGAGGTATGAGGTTCTTTTACGTGCCGTAAAGCTACGACACGGGACCCACGGCTTAAAGTCCCTCCCGGAGGACTTGTTCCCTGAATTTTTCCGCCCTTAAAAATTCGACGACCTCTGCCGGGTATTTGAACCCGCGTACTGCGAGTCATGAGGTGGGAACGTTACCTCTAGACTACGAAGGCCGCTTTTAGTATCTTAATATAAAATGTAACTACCCTCCAAAAAGTTATAAAGTTTTGAGGTTATAAATATTTGAAAAATTGAATTCTTAACTATTTCTCGTTGAAACTTAATCTCATTCAATTATAATTTATTTTACACTGAACTTAGCAATCGTATCGATTTCTGAAAGCTGAGAAAATAAAAACTGTCAAGCTAATATCTTTAATTAGTTTTGTCTGATCTGGTATACATGCTTACTTGAATGAAGAACACAGATTTATGTAAGTCTATATTATATGGATTTATTGAAATAAGTCACAGAACCCTTTGTGATAAGCGCGAGTTAATCGCTGGGCTGCCATAACAGTCAGACTTCAGGTATCCACTATTTCACAGCTGTGGTACTTGGAGCTGGTTTCCAGCCAACTCTCGACCCCATTATTTGAAGCAAGGTCATCGTTCGATGGGAGTTCTGTTAGCGGTTCCATTTCCAGGAGCCTCCCATTGGGGAGAAGTATTCCATTCTCTTTGGGGCATAGTCGTTCTCGGCTGCTGAAAACTGTGTACACAACCAGAAAGACAAAAAATATTAGTGCCAGAGAGGCCACTTACTTTATAATTAGAATGATCAAGTCAAGGAGGATGAGGTGGGCAGGTCATGTAGCACGAATGGGGGAGACGAGAAATGCATATAGGATATTGGTGGGAAAGCCAGAAGGAAAGAGACCACAGGGAAGACCAAGGCGTAGGTGGGTGGACGGTATTAGAATGGATCTTAGAGAGATAGAATGGGATGGTATGGATTGGATAGATCTGGCTCAGGATAGGGACCAAGCGAAATATTTTAGGAGCAGACTAAATTTGGAGAATGATTGTTCGTTCATTCATTCATTCACTCATTTATACATTCACAATTTTCCATCTTCTCGTTGGTCATATTAAAACACAAAGATGAATTTGTGGTCTGACGTGTAGGCGCTAAGGTAAGCAATATTCAGGTTTGTCGCCTGGTTGCTATGACAAAAGGTGATTGTATGTGCGCGTAGAGGCAGCTCTGCACTTGTAGTCGGTAGGTTACCTTTTCGAATTTCAGCCGTGACACCGGTTATTCTTACAGTTTGTACATGGTTTGCTTCAGTCCCTTCTTGCAAACTTCGGAATACTACCTGAATTAAGCCACGGCTGCGTCCTCCCAGATCCCTGCCAATTTATCATTCTCCTCTCATCCCACGCTATGTAGTTTAAAGACAAAGAAAATTTATAAAACAAAGAAATAGAAATTGTAATAATACAGGTAGTGCTGATGAAAATAAAGAAATAAAAAATCACTGCAGCAATTTCTTTCTCTGTCAGAAGCTGAAATCCAGTCTTTTTCATCCAACTCAAGCCAGTCTTGGATATTTTCTTGCGTGGTTTCGGTCTCTCCAGCTGCCCTCGACACAGTCTGGAAGTCCTCTCGCTCCTAAATCCCACGTGTCTTTTAAAATATGTACTCAACTGTGTACAGAATTATTTTTTTTTTATATTTCAATCCTGATTAGCAAGGGTTTACTGTGTCCCTACGTCCTTTCTATAACAGCACTTTCAATATAACAAGCAATTTATTGAATGTATATATGCATATAGATATATAGGATATGTATGTATTTATGAGGTGGGCAGGGCATGTAGCACGAATGGGTGAGACGAGGAATGCGTATAGGATATTGGTGGACAAGCCCGAAGGAAAGAAACCAGTGGGAAGACCAAGGCATAGGTGGGTGGAATATTTTAAAATTGATCTTAGAGAGATAGGATGGGATGGTATGGATTGGATTCATCTGGCTGAGGATAGGGACCAGTGGAGGGCTCTTGTGAACACGGTAATGGACCTTCGGGTTCCATAACATGCTGGGAAATTCTTGAGTAGCTGGAAAATTGGCGGCTCTTCCAGAAGGGCTCAGCTCCATGGGTAAGTAAGTAAGTAAGTAAGTAAGTAGTTAGTTATTTAGAGAGGGTGAGTTTCCCCATGCACCGCGACCAGTTTGATCTATTGTGCTTCCCTCTATGATATTCTACCAGTCTCTTTACCCTACCGATAAATGTTGCGTACCACCAGTCCCGCCGAGCAAGCGAAGTAAGTAAGTAAGTATGTATGTATTTATATAAGTCCATATATCGTCGAATGATAGGAATGTTGGCGTGTAATGAACCGCGAAGAATATTTAAGAAAGTGGCCATGGCTTAACTTGAAATAATTTCCACGTAAGTTACCTGGAGAGACTGAAGAAAACAGCAAATTATCTCTATCAGGATAGCCAGTCTCCGGCTTGAGTTTTGAACTGGGGCCTCCCGATTACGAAACAGGACAGGTATCCACTAAACCGCGACGTGCCCTGCATATTGCCTTGATTGGTCTGTGTACCTGTAATGCGCTTTCACTGTTGATGTCAGCACAATCGATTTGCGTGTGACCCGTGTGACTCACTGAGAGCCTTCAAAGGGACCCTAAGCTTCACTCCTCTCTGACTCATTCTCTGTGACAGAGGTACACAGGTAAAGTTGTGCCTGTGCTTATCTAACTAAGCACTACGCCAGGCATGTCAAACTGAACTTGTACAGAGGGCCACCTCAGCCCTATAAATAATAATCTAGGGCCGCACTTCAAAATAGAAATATACATTAGATTTTGATACAAGGAAATTTAATTCTATTTATTATTTAGGAACAATTTCAATATAATTACCGGAAGTGGAACACTTATATTTTGCCCACAAATCAAACATGTAATTTTACCTTCTATTTCACAACAGAAATAAGCGATTTACCATTTTTCTTGAAAAACACGGCGCTCACTTTCAGTAGTTCTTTTTTTGCTACTTGAATTTTTTGGAAGCGACATTGACCTTTAAAAGTTACTGTACATATACAAGAAAACTCGTAGTTGATAATTTAATGTTTAATTATAACCTTTATACGTTCATCACAATGTAACATCAGCACCTGTCGCTGTGTGAAAATGAACTGAATGACAATGCACAAGAGACTACCGGACTAGTAGGAAGGTGTATCTTGTCTCAGTGGTCATAAAAGTGAAAGTTTGCTAGCAGCCCATTAGACAGTGGCTGGGGGTTGCAAGCTAGTTTTGTAGGTAGAAATCCCTTGCACTTGTCTGTCAGTTGCCACCCTCCTTGCATTCTTACTACGCCTCCAAAAGGGATTCTTGGAAATACTTGGGGTGGTGAGGCTGTATTGATTTTAGTGCATTAACCTTCTGAGATGCAATAGTTTGTCCTTCACGAACTTTACAAACCGTTAGTCGGACAAACCCTTCTGCAATTCTCACAATCACTTTTCCTGCAGCCTGCTACTTTATGTCTGCGTGAGACTTCTTGTCTTCTGGTCTGTTGGAAAACTGTCTTTACAAAAAATATTTCTACTAAAATTTTAATATTGATTTTAATATCAATTAGCTCTAAAAGTTGAGTGTTTGACACGGCTGCACTACGCCATGAAGACGCATGGGGAAGTGGATGTATAGATCCACTTCTCTGGACCTCGGCACTAGCTGGAGGTGAGTGGTTAGATTCACGTCCCAGCTGCTTTACCCCCGGTACCCGTTGTATTTGAGGCTGGGTGGAACCCAGAACCTGTATGGAAGACGTGGAGAAGAGAAAATTGTTGACCCTATCGGGACTCGAACTGCCACCCGCCAGTCTCTATCCCGGCTCCTGGGGTATACAGGAAGTAAAGATAACAGGTACAGTTGTCCTTGCGGTTAAGTAAACACCACGCTCTTATGGCGTATGGCGGAGTAGAGATGTACCCCCACTATTCTTGGCGTCGGCCGTGTATGAAAGTGAGTGGTCAGCTTCACGATCCGGCCGCTCCACTTCCGGGAAAACATCCACTGGTACGCATTGGATAAGAGGCTGGGTGAGCCCCAGAATCGGTCTGGATGCTGTAGAGTAGATAGAAAAAATCTCTTTTTCTCTGCCAGGAATCGACCCCCGGCCCGTCCAGTACATACCAGTTACTCATCGACTGAGCCATCCCATTCTGTTGAAAAGGGTCCGATTCGCCTCTACTCCTCAGTCGGTTGGACCGAGGTCAATTCTCTACGCGTAACAACACCCTTTGAAATACTAAGGCATTTGTGCTGCATAACCAAGGACGTAATTACAGACTTACCGGAGTCTGGAGACACAGGACACACGCCAGGCAGCAACGTGTTTTGCCTCAGGCTTCTGGGAGGGCTCTTGAATTCTCCAGCTGCCGTCAGAGATGATGTAATGCTCGGGAGTCTAATGTCCAGGTGCGAGCCCTTGTCTGTCACAATCTGCGATGTAAAATGGCACAGCGCTCCAGTCAGACACGTACAGAAACTGCGCTGATTGTGTTTAGGACTTGCAATATTGCGGATAAAATATATTGTCACGTGTTTGGCATGGCTCAGCCGGCGGCCCGTCTTCTACCCCAGGTCATGTGCGATTTGTAGTGGACAGAGTGGTGCTGGGGTAGGTTTTCTCCGAGTACTTTTGTTTCCCCTGCCAATTCTCATTCCACCCTCTTCATGTATCACCCGAGACTGGTACAATAGTGCAATTAGTGGCCGACGTTTCATGTTGACTCAGTCTCACACCACCCCCAAGAGAATAAGAAGAAGAAACTAAACACAGTGGAAAATGCATTGTAACGGTTTTTAGCGAGTTAAACAGTTGCCTGATGATGGCCGAGTAGGACAAAGAAGACAATGACAAATAAATATGTATTTAAAACAGAACTATATGTGTATAAGCGGCGTTAATGCAACAGGATGCTGAAATGCAGTATTATTAACATATCATTAGCATTTATATTTACTTTTCCTTTACTAGATATTCTCTTTTCGCCGATCACAGTGGCCGCGTGGTCTAAGCTATGACCTGTCATCGCTAGCTTGAACTCTGCAATCCTGGGTTTGAATCCCACTCAAATCAAGGATCTCTGTGTGTACGTTTATTCTGTGTTTGTGTTGTTCTGTGTGTAGGTAGCGGCCTTACGATGGGCTGATCCCCCGTCCAAGGAGTCCTACCGACTATGTATAGGATTAAGAAAGTAAAAATTCAGCCAAGGTCCATCAAAGGACTTAGAACCATAATTACAGGTTCTCTTTTTAACTTATTGTGTCTAATTACATCCACTAAACACACAAAAGTTTTTCACGTTTAACAAAAATTCAATTCCAGAAGCGACTGACTATGTTTGTATTTAAATTACGCCTTATGCAACGTGAATGATGTCAACGTGAATGATTACAAATTTGCATGTGGTCAGGAGCGTGATCAAGAGAGAAATTACAACGGAGTAATGCAGAACATTATATTCACTGGAATAACGTCATATTACAAACCGTGATAAGATCATTAAACAAACAGGAACTCTTCTTTCTGCTCCCTTCGTTAGTTCGCGTATCTTTTCATATATTTTCCTAAGTTAATGGCTTTTGTGGCCGGTCACGGTAGCCGAGCGGTCTAAGGCATGTACTGTCTTCGCTCGCTTGGAAACCGGGATCGTGATTTCGAATCCCACACAAGGCATGGATGTTTTAGTTTGTGTGTGTGCGTTTTTCTTTCGTGTACAGGTATATGCCTTGCGACGAGCTGATTACCCGCCCAGGGAGTCCTACCGAATGTGTAAGATCTAGAAAAACCGAAGTGAACGGAGAAGTTCGTGGAGGTAGGCCTAGGCCCACTGGGGCTGTAGTGCCAAGGGAAAATATGGCTTTTTGTGTCTGAAGCTGTATGCTTGTAGAAGCGTAAAGAACTCTGAAAGATTCTTGATATTTACACCCAGAATTGATTGTTACACAGAAATTTGACTTAATACATGCCAGAAGTTAATAAAAAATAATAGTACTAATAGGCCTAGTGAAAACAAACAAGAATGCTTGTTCTACTCCCGAGATGTCTTTCTTTCCCTTGTTATTATCATAACATACGAGGGTTTAACCACCAGTGAACTGTTAATAAAAGAAGCAATGACAAAAAATTATTATATACAAAAAAAAAGTACGTACTTAAGCCACTTCTCCACGCAGTCACCTCCGGAACTGAGGCGCTGGTCGTAAAGGAGAACAAGTTTCTGTATGCCTGTGTTAATGAAATCTGACGCCTGTGGTCTCGGCCACGTTTTGACACCTTCCATCAACTCATTATTGCTAAAGCACTGTAATCTCAACCAGGTCTTCAGGTATGTAATTACCATCTATAATCAGATATCAGATTATAATCAGATGGTAGTCACTCAGAGCGAGATCAGGGCTGTAAGGACAGTGGTCAAACAACTCCCAGTTGAAATTCTCCAGCTGTGCTCGGATGGGAGCAGCCGTATGCGGACGAGCATTGGCAAGGAGGAGAATTACACCGTATGTCAGCATTCCACGCCTTTTATTCCTGAATTGCCCTATGCAGTATTTTTTGTTTCGTTTTGAAACGTGGCTGAGCTCACAAGCGGCAGACGACAAGTGCCTCAATTCAGGCGGTGATTATAGTGGTAAATAGCTTAAGTACATATGTATTTTTTGCTTGTTTTGTAAACAGCTCGTCAGAGGTTACTTTCCGAATAGCCTTCGTACAACATCTGAACATATAAGAAAGACGTACCGTTCAAATTAAGAAGGTAATGAATACGATTTTGTTACCAACGTTTGAAGATTTTCACGTGAAACGTTAGAACCCGTTTAACAAGGTACACAGTTTCACATACCAGAAGATAGTAATCTCGGTACTGACGGGCGTGAAATCATCAATTTCACGTAAAAGAAATAAATTGAGCAATGAAATTAAACGAATGATTAGGAATGAGGGTTTAGAATCACGGGCAAAAACTATAGCATAATATTTTCTCATCGCTTCAATATCTGTATGCAAAGTAGCCAGAGGCTATGCTTGTTTGACTTACTTTTCTATTCTGAAGATGAAAGCCAAATGTTCCTCCAAAAACATCATACCCTTTCTGAATTACACTGCATTTCAACTAAAAGATAGTAATTTTCATTGTCGCAGCTGTGAGAACTCAATCTAATGTTAATGGAACTACGTAATGGTAACTTCCATATTGTGAAGAATATGATCATTTGCTAGGCAACGGCTAGGTAAACACTGCCTAAAAATCGGAATAATAACAGAGGCGAATACGAGAATTTTCTAGGCAACGTCTAGGTAAAAGTAGGAAAGGCATTCCCGTGACAACACAACACAGCAGAGCAGAACAAATGTAGGATATGGTAACTTGTATCCCGGCTGAAAGGCAGTGGATTCGTGAATTCGAGTAGTAGACAGTCCGAGATTAGTGACAGATTAATCAGACAGACGTTATCCAGAAGTAGTTCAATGTATGAGCTGTTATTAGAGACTGTAATTATAAAGAAGTGCCAATAATCCCAATCATCAAACCCAGAACCCATTGCTATTAGTCACGTAACCCCTTATACGTGACAGTATTTCACCTTTCAGTTATTCCTATCTAAATGTTCTTATTGATATAGCGATCGATATCTCGACTAGATCATAAAGACTTCTCGATACACTGTGGTTCCTTACCTTCTTGTTCATAGCGTACAGCTTGGTGGTGATATCTCTGGCGATGAGGGTTGTCAGCACTGTTGCCAGATAGGTCTCCTTCACAAACAGGTATTCAAGTGACGATCTCTGCCAGTACAAATAGCGGCAGGAGGTAGCCGCTATTATAGAAACCTGTCACATATGAATCCGCAAGTACTGAGTTGTACAACAGGCCTACTAATGACGTCATATGCGTGAGGTGCCATCTAGCAAAGACTTCAAGCAGTGTGCAGAGGTACAGACGAGATGCGTGCAGTTGAAATGACACATAGCACAACTTGAATAATAGATCAACGTATAAAACAAACTCCATAGCCTGTAGTCTGCAAGCGAACTATACCGACCGAGCGACAGCCTTTGTCGGCGAAGTTAATGCCAAATTTAGCGGATAGAGGGTGTCGCGTGGTCAGCGCAACGGATCCCCAAGGCCGTTAATCTAGGTTTTCTAGACCGGAGCCGCTATTTCCTTGCAACAGCTCCTCAATTATCATCACGAGGCTGAGTGGATCCCGTTCCGGACCCGCTATTTCTCAGAGAAAAACTGGTAGCGCTGGGAATTGAACCTGGACCTCTGGATCTGTAGCCAGGATCGCTGACCACTAGACCACAGAAGTAAACTGTATATATTATACCCTAAGTTTTAGGGTTCAACAGGGGTTCCTAAAATCTTTTTGGCCACGTACCACTTACTGCGTGGTTTTTCATTGGCGGACCACGAGAATATTAAACGAAATATTTTTAAAAATTTTGAATGGAATGAAAGTGAAATTTAGTCAACAGCTAACAACCCCCTTGAATTTTAAAACAGAAATAATTAGAAGATTACGGGCAAGCAAATCACATGTTTATTTGTGCGTAAATAAAATACCTTGAGCTTAAATCGGATGCGGGCCGCTTGAAAAAAAAATCGCGGACCATTGGTTGTCTGCTGATCGTGATTTTATGAAATTCTGCTTTAGAACTTGACAACAGCTCTCTCCGCTCTGCTAAACACAGCGGAGAGTACAACGTATCTGCATAGAAGCATGCCAGTGTGCATTACTGGCATATGTCACACATTATGACGTCATCATATTGTCTCCATTATTAACCACTGACTGTTCAGTCACGTAGCGGCAGTTGTTAAGGTTAAAATAAAAAGTCGACAGAGGGTTCATAGTTATGCATTAATAATGACTGGCACGTACTATGGTCTATAAGGCTATTATGACTACAAGATAAATTAGTTTCCGTAAAATCGGACACGAAAATAGTACTGTCAGATCAGTAATGTTTATCAAATGGGAATTGTAAGAGCACGTGCATAGGATGGGGGAAACAAGGAATGAGTATAGAATTTCATGGAAAAGCCTGTCGAGGAACGTCCAGTTGGAAGATTGATGGAAAGATTCTTTGACATTATATTTTCTTTCTTACTTCGTGAAATCAAAAGGGCGTATAAAATGTTTAGAAATTGTTTCCTTACCTTGAACTTATCATCCGTTGTAGCGCGACTTGACTCAAACTCGGGAGAATCCAGGAACTCGCAGGGCATGATGGGATGAAGAAATTGGTGGTCAGACATCACGTTTATCTGTTCAATTGCATGTAAAATGTTAATGGGGGGCAACACCCATTTCATTACACACTACTAATCTTATTTTTATCTTATTCTCTAGAAGGAACTGAATTATTGAATTGTCAGTTGTAATTTTGACTTGCCCTACAATTAAACTGTAGATGTATTCATATTCCAAAAATTTATTCGAGAGTTGTTTTCCAAAAGAAAATGGAAGAGTGTAATCTTATGGATCTAAAATAATTTTTACTCTGGGCGTATGGACATCTATCTCCGGGGGTAAACAGGTCAAGGCGTGAAACTGACCGCTCACCTCCACCTACTGTCGAGGTCAAATAATTGTGGAGCTACCCTTCCACTTACACAAGTGTCTTTATGGCGTGGTGTTTAATTGTTTAATTACAGGGAAAATTTACGTTTTTCCTCCAAGAATAACAAGCGTTTTAGATAACCCATAATTCGTGAATATATGACATCTTATGTAAATAAAATACTTCTGTTATAACCTGTTGATAGCTATGTGGTTCCTATCAGCTATATTTCTGAAATATCTGTGTATTACATAAAATATGTAGGATAAACTTCAAACACATTCCATCCCCTGCAAGGACAAATGCCTTTTAACCTACTTTCCTTATTTTGAAAAAATGAAAGGAGGCTTATGAGATCACATTACTGTCTGTATGTCTCTCTCCCATCGTTGCTAGGTAACGAGCAGCCTGTATGACTGTCTGTGCTTTCCCAATAATCTTTTCTTTCTCTGCGGTACATATCCTATCAAAGGAAAGCAGGCGTAGTTCTTCCCAGAACTTCTTGTTTAGATAATGATGTTGGTTTCAATAAAAACTAATATATACTTGACAAGTTGTATTGACGGATATGTTGTCACTGTAATTGAATCCAAATTAAGAAATTAAGAGCAGCTGGGTTCAGCTCTTACCTTTCCCGAGAGTAAGAGCCCCAAGCGGTCGGTTCTGGTGAGGTTCTGCATAGCGTATGCTTCACCCGCGTGAAGAGACATGATCTGAGCGAAGTCTGAACTCACCATCTTCTTGAACTGCAGGCGGGACACCTGCAGTTAACATAATGACAGCAACACAACGGGTTAACGCAGCAAACAGCAGAAGAATCTGGCGTAGGCTATGCGTGGTCTACTACAACAGACAGGGAAGTTCATCATAGCTCACGACTTTAAAAAGAAATCATTTTTAGATTTAGTCTTGACCTAATTGTTATTTTTATTGTTTTTACTGTTTGAATCAATGTCTAGTCTAGTCTTACTTACTTACTTACTCATGGAGCTGAGCCCTTCTGGAGGAGCCGCCAATTCTGCAGCTACTCAAGAATTTCCCAGCATTTTATGGAACCCGAAGGTTCATTACCGTGTTCACAAGAGCCCTCCACTGGTCCCTATCCTGAGCCAGATCTATCCAATCCATACCATCGCATCCTATCTCTCTAAGATCCATTTTAATACTGTCCACCCACCTACACCTTGGTCTTCCCAGTGGTCTCTTTCCTTCTGGCTTTCCCACCAATATCCTATACGCATTCCTCGTCTCCCCCATTCGTGCTACATGACCTCCATGATCATTAGCTTGGGTCGTTTGTCCAAGGAATGAGTCCAGGTCCGAGGCTTCGTGTTCATTTTCGTAACATAATGAGTTTTTACGGTGAGGAGTTGTTAGCCCCATGCCCAACCCCCATGCTGGAGGGCCACCCCTTGTCAGCTGTCCGCGACTGCTTATTCAATATATTCACAGCTTCCCTCCAAAACTAGAGGGCGTCTTCTCCATCTGCAACCTGAGGACGCTCCATGACGTGGTGACAGGGACCCACCTAACATGGAGTCTAGTCTAGTTAATGTACTTTATATATATACGAGTAGAAAGTACCTTTTTGTGAATCATATATATAGGGGCCGCTGGCTTTCTACCGCGGCGGCTCGGGTTCTATCCCGGGTCTGGTCAAGTGGGATTTGTGGTGGACAAAGTGGCGCTGGGGCAGGTTTTCTCCGAGTACTTCGGTTTCCCCTGCCAATCTTCATTCCGCCAATTGCTCCACAATCACCCTCACCTATCATCTGGGGCTGGTACAATAGGCCAGAAGTGGCCGCAGTACACGGGACTTAGTCCAACCCCGCTAGCAATAAAAAAAACAATAAGAATGAGGATGCGAGCGTTGCAGTTCAGTGGTTGAGTGTGTGAGACTTGCAGCACCTGAGGATGGCCCGTTAGGGTCGAAACATGTAGTGCTATATATGTAAATAAACAGTTGTTGCGTTGACGATAGAATTTGTATATGTTGAAAGTGCAATGGTACGAACTGGATTCAACTGGCTGAGATTATGGTAGAGTAACTATCGTTTTTTTCTCACAAATTAGCGCATGCGCCATGTTGTTGTTGAATAAAAAAGTTAAAGATTATATAAATAAAATGGTCTCTAATGCCGTAACGAGCATATCGAGTTTTATAAGAATCGGTCAGTTGGTATAAAAGTTAAATGGGTGACACACAAAAACCGTGGTTCACTGATAATCTTAGTTTCGTTATGCGAGGATGAAGAGTAAGAAATTCCAAATGGGTCACTTTTCAATAGAGCTTTCATTTTTCATTCACTACTGAACCTATGTATGAGCCACGTGTGGGGGATCAGAACATTTCTAGCAGGACGTAGGTTTGATCTACATCATAACACCTGCACGGAGAGACAAGGTAAAACAACGAAATATTCCAGGGATATCGTGAGAATCACTGTACCTTGAAGGGATGAAAGAGTGTCTGGTAAGCTTCCTCGAGCTCCGGGTCGAACTTGACGGGTCTGCGCTGGTATATGATGTACACAAGTTGCCCCATGTTGAGTAACATAAAACTGAAGTTCCAAGAGAATATGTCGGGGGCACAGATGATATTCCATGCCCAGAATGAAAACAGCATGAAACCTGCAAATAACCCGTCATTAACACACAATAATTCTACAGACACTTTGTGTGATGCACTTTGCATCTCAGTTGCTCTCAAATGTTTATATTATGTGTTATGATGTCGGTCTGGAGTCCAGACATCCTGACTGACATGTTCTGCTTTATTACATAAACAAAACAAACACCGTGGCCTGCAGTCCGCAAGCGAACTACACCGACCGAGCGACCGCCGCTTTTCGGTGAAGTTAGTGCCAACTTTTGCGGATTGAGGGTGTCGCGTGGTCAACGCAAAAAATCCCCACCACCGTTAATCTCGGTTTCCTAGACCGGAGCCGCTGTTTCCTTGAAATAACTCCTCAATTATCCTCATGAGTCTGAGTGGACCCCGTTCCAGACCCACTACTCAGAAAAATGCGGTAGCGTCGGAAATCGAACCTGGGACCTCTGGATCTGTAGCCAGGAACTCTGATCACTAGAGCACAGGGGCGGTCACTGCTTTAATATATGTTATTTATAATTATTTATTAACGATTTCACTAGCTCAGATTATAATAATAACATCGACTGGTAGGAAGATCAGCGCACAATCAATTGGAATGGATGTAAAGAAGAGGTCTTGGCCTAAATCGGCGTAATATCCCACAATTTACCCGGAAAACCTGAGAAGAAACACGCATCCCTTCTACCCAAGTTAAGATACCCGGAATTCTGGCCATGACTGAACCTAATGCCTCCGTAATATAAATGAGAAGAATAACCGCTTGAGCCGACTTGATTGGTTTAAAGATTTCCATGATTATCTCCAGTCCCTCCGGGAAAATCATGTCGGAACAGAACCCTAAGACAGAATGCGACAGTTTCCCTCGCAAACTCTCTTCTTCTTCTTCTTCTTGTCTTCTTCTTGACAGTCGGTAGGACTCCTAGGGCGAGGGATTCTTCGCAAACATTTAATATTAACTCTACAGGGTGTTTCTAAATTATTGTCGTGGATTCCGTGACCTATATACGGAAAACCCGACACTAATTTAGAGTCACTCTGTACATCTGGTAAGAGAAAATATCTTTCTATGATTTCAGTCATCTGAAGCTTGGTTCTGAATAAAGCGCCTATTTGTACCGGACAGTTAAACTAATATAATAATAATAATAATAATAATAATAATAATAACAATAACAATAATAATAATAATAATGCTCACCGAAGATTAGGGCTGAGTGCATGAAGAGTACTCCATAGACACTGCTCGGGGAAGCGTACGAAATGACGAAGCAGGCGTTAGCAAGTTGGAAAAGGATGTGCTGCGGGTCCTTCCAGCCGGCACACACGGGCACCAATCCTGCGGCAGGGGGAATTGAATGAGCGAACACAGCGTCACGTTCTTTCTAACATTTACTTTCCGTCTCATCTGAGGGAATGGATGTTAACAATGTAACACTTCATCAGATATTATTCCGACGATCAAGTCAAGGAGGATGAGATGGGTGGCATAATAAGTGCGTGTACACTTGGATAGCTCAGTCGGTAAAGAGAGGCTACAGCACGGACGGCTGGGTTTCAATTCCCAGCAGGGGCAAAAGATTCTTCTCTTGACCATAGCGTTCAGACGGGCTCTGAGGCCCACTCAGCCTCCTGTCAAATGGGTACTGGGGGTACTTTTCCCAGGGGTGAAGCGGCCGGGCCGTGAAGCTGATCACTCACTCCATCTAGTTCCCAGGTTAAGAATGTTGGGGCTATACTTACACTCCTCCGACTTCACGACATAATGTTTAATTAGTTGGGCATATGGGCAACCTTTTATTTTCACTGGCTCTACAGCCCCCTTGAGCCCTGGCCTCTGTTCAGTTTCATGGTCATTTTACAGACGGTAGGACTCCTTGGATGAGTGATAAGCTCGTCGCAAGGCCTCTACCTAAACACAGGGCAACACGAACACAGAATAAACACACATACCAAACATCCATGCTTTGTGTGGGATTCGAACCCACGATCCCGGCTTGCGAGCGAGCGAAGACAGTACACGCCTTAGACCGCTCGGCTTCCGTGACTGGCGGACAACTTTACCGTTGCACTATCTTATTCAGAAAACCTGAAACGATAAAAAGTTTTGGGAGACCTAAGGATAGAAATCTCATTTGCAGAGGAATTTTTTTAGCTTAAGGTTGCCTACTCAATTTGTTATATATCATCAGAGATATTTTTCCCCCTTGGCACTACAGCCCCAGTGGGCCTAGGCCTACCTCCATGAACTTCTCCGTTCACTTCGGTTTTTCTAGATCTTACACATTCGGTAGGACTCCTTGGGCGGGTGATCAGCTCGTCGCAAGGCCTCTACCTATACACAAATACAGAAAATCGCACACACACAAACAAACCTTCCATGCCCTCAGTGGGATTCGAACCCACGATCCCGGTTTCCAAGCGAGCGAAGACAGTACATGCCTTAGACCTCTCGGCTACTGTGACCGGCCAGTAAATCCGATTAGCAATCCAAATCTATAGTCACTCTGTCACTAACAATATGTTATCTAAGCGTTGGTAAATAAACCAAAGATCAGTCATCTGTAAAGGACAGAAAATTATAAGGAGAAGCATATAAGAGGAACGACTCCCATAGTGGAGGAACCATGCGCGGGTTTTGAATTGGGACAGATAAGATGAATATCTTAACAAGATTTTAGTATACAGAAAATTTATTATAACTGAAGAATATTTTAAAATAATTTTTAAATAATTTTACATTGACATAATGGCATGCAATGCAATGGGGCTGTAGTGGAGACAGATAGGGTGGGACCAGATCCAAGTGTGACGCCCTCGATTCTTGGCACCGAAACTGTGTGCCTTGTTCCCAGTCTTGGCTTCTGCAGTTAAGGACGTTATTACAATTTATTGCATGTAGTTGATAAAACATTGTCGTTTCTTCGTTATATACCAAGGCGTAATACATGGTTCCCGCATATGTTCTGATAAATGGAGCAAAGTTATAGAATGTTGTTTAAAAAGAATTAATTGATGCACTGAGTACCCAGTGTTTCCAGCGTCGTTGAAATTATCTGTCTCTATGTTAGAGTCTGATTCAGTGATTCAGTTAAGTACCGGAAATTAAATTAAGTAGTCATATCTTGTCGTCGGATTTCGAAGGAAGGGCTCTACAAATTGTACCAGACGTTACCATGAACTCTGCTTGTAGAACTCAGCATTCACCTTTCCACGCCTGTATGAATTTGTAGAATCCCATTCAGTCTAATCTACATTAACCCTTTAAAGATTGAATCTTTTATAAATTATACTGTGGCACGTAGACCTGATACTAGGCAACGACCAAGAAATAAGCAACTATACTACAGCCGTTGCTAGGTAATGGCCACAAGAGATTCATAACAACCAATAATGGAGTAACTGGGAAACTGTGTTCTCTACGTAGTCCGTGTGATAGCTACGTGATGCAACACTAGAAGAATTATTGCGGGAGGTGTTTTCTGTGCGGTCAGTGCCGAAGTGTTATAGGCAGAACAAGTCTAGATTTGAGTGAGTTGTGAGAGAGTCGCCGGCTAGTAAGCATGTGAACACGGAAGCTGAGGAGCCTACGGTGTTGGTAGCCGTTATCGGGCGACAACCGGTGAAGATACGGCAAACTCAGAAGACTTAGTGCGTGGTGTAGTGAATTGTAGAGTGTGTGACTTAGCGATAGCGCTATAACTACTTGTAGTTGCGATCTGTAAGTGTTCAATAAATGTAATTACCAATCCAAATCCTGTCTGTAGTGCCTCATACATATGACAATATGTAAAAATTAAGTCCGTACCACACAGGAAACATATTATGCCTCCGCTACAAAGCCCAACCGGTTAATGCTGTTTGTGGAAACAGTCGCTGTTTATTGTGAGAACCATACGAAACAAGCAGATACACTCTGTGGGAAGAATGCAGTCTATATAAGAATCCAATCCGTACCTCACAGGAAACACATTACGTCTCCGCTACAAAGCCCAACCGGTTAATGCTCTTTGTGGAAACAGTCGCTGTTTATTGTGAGAACCATATGGAACACGCACATACACTCTGTGGGCAGAATGCAGAGTTATAGTATGTTAAAGTAGGTGGTACATATACGAGTAGTTACCACTGAGCTTTAAAGCTTTATCTAAATGCCCAGAAGCAGAGTCCTTTTTCAAAATCACGCTTCTTACTGGTTACTTGTCTTGTTTATTCTTCGATCCTGAAGATGGCGGCGGTACGTTCCACCGAGACGTTGATGTACTTCTACCGAACTATACGGTGTCACATCCCAAAAGATATTAGTCTTCATTTTCATTTCTGTGAGAATCTCAAATCCAATGTAAGGGAGGTAAAGGTGAAAAGGTAAAGCGTGAAGGCCCATAAAGGTGTGAGAGGTCGAGGCTCCCACATATTCTAGACAGCTGATTCACAGATGGCGGTGAAGTTGTCAGCCTTGCACCCCGACCGCCGTTTACCCCCCCAGGAAAATTTCTTGGTATTCATTTCTGTCAGAGGCTGAGTCGACCCCAGGGCCCTAGTGCGGCTGGAAGGATTAGTTTAATTGAAAAAAAAAAAATCAAATGACCTCACCGGGATTCGATCCCGCGACCTTCCGGCTTGTAGCATAATGAGTCAACCAATTACGCTACCGCGTGCCCCCAAATTACTGAGGAGGGGTTATTAATTCCTTAGTTCAATATTTGCACAGTGATATGGTTCCTTTCCACTTTACACCAATTGAATTGGTTTGGTTATTTAGAATTAATATAAAAGTGTATTTGATTAAATATTTTATGATTATACAACAAAAAGCCAGAGGAGAACTGTCGTGTCAAACATGGAAAGATCAGTTCTAGATCAAACATCGTATCAGATTGGTGCTTACCATAGTTTCCGTCCTTGTCTTCAGCACCCACTGTACCATTCTGCTCGGGGTAGGTGTTCATTGCTACAGCTGCGTGTCACGCACTTCTTACGCTGTATTGTTGGACATTGACGTGATCTCAGGATCAAGGTGAAGAAGCGAAGACAGTTTCCAAAATTTCTCTAGGAGCAAGCGTTTATCTTGCGGAGCTCTGAAAATTGTCTGATGAGTACAGTAATATTGATTGTAACGCCGTATAGTTTGGACAACGCGCGACGTTTCGGAGGAAAATATCACCTCCATCTATAAGACCACAAAAATAAGCCAAACATCCAGCGGAAGTGACGGATCTCAGTTCCTACTGGTTCCTTGCTTGGCTAACCCATACCGTAAAGATGAAGGCGATAAGTTCCTTCGAAACAACATATTTTCTCTGAATACACGGCGTTATTGTTATGGCTTTACTGCCCGTTGTTGGGCCTTGGTCGTTTTTCAGTTACTTAATCGTATACATAGTCGGTAGATTTCCTTGGACGAATGATCAGTCCGTCGCAAGGCCTCTACCTACACACAGAACAATACAAACAAAGAATAAACGCACACGATATAGACATCTGTGCCTTGAGTGGGATTCGAACCCACGACGCCAGCGTTTGAGCGAGCGAAGGCAGTTTGTGCCTTACACCGCGCGGCCAGTGTGATCAGCAATACACGGCGTTACCACCAAAAACACCACACTTTTCATAATTGCAGTAGTGAGATTCATACATCCAACCCTCTGTCTGTATGACTGTCTTCAATTTATGGCGCTGCGAATGTGCTGAGAAAGTGAGCTCACCTATACGAGTTCATTGTCCAAGCACGTTGGCAGCATCGTAAGTTGACGCCCCTATAACACATTTTCGGAGAACCACGAGATATTCACTAAAAGTTATTATGATGCTGAGTTATGTGGACGAGCAGGACGGGGCGTACATCAAGTCTAGGAAATAAGAAATACTCAAGAAATCAAGTCAGGAAACGATAATGGAAGAAGCATTCACGAGACCAGGATTACTTGGAAGGATAACGTCTCTAGGAGAAAAGGCATGCGAATTTAACTGGCTCAAGATAGCGTGCGGTGGTCTCATGAATACAGCAAATAGTAGTTGCCTAAGACTGTCCTTACGGTCTAAGGTAGGTCGCACACAGGCATGCGTCAAGACATGTAACAGTCAAGACATGATGTTTGCGACATGACGCAAAAAAAAAAAAGATGCACAGTTGAAACGAATGAGATTATGAAAACCGTCGCTCACCGGACTGAGTCATGATGCTGACGAATCACGAATGAAGAAAGCCTGCCTCTTTTCCTCTCATGTCTTGATGCATGTCTTGACGCAGTTGGTGTGCGGCCACCGTAAGTAACTGGTAGCTTTGGCCGCGCCATAGCTCAAGCGGTTAGTCGTTGGCTTCCCACCGCGGCGGCCCGGATTAGATCCCGGGTCTGGTCAAGTGGGATTTGTGGTGGACAAAGTGGCGCTGGGGCAGGTTTTCTACGAGTACTTCTGTTTCCCCTTGCCAATCTTCATTCCACCAATTGCTCCACAATCACCCTCACCTATCATCTGGGGCTGGTACAATAGGCCAGAAGTGGCCGCAGTACAAGGGACTTAGTCCCACCCCACTAGCAATAAAAAAACTTGTAGCTTCCCAAGAAGGACATTTTCCCTTGTAGTCAGTCATTTCGTCAAAGTGGCCTTATTTGAAGGATAATTTCTGTATGATCCTTTCAAGAATCTGTTTTTATTTTTACAGAATCAAGAAAATTGTTATTTTATTTTTCTCATTTTAATTAACATGTGAGTTTCTTGATCCTACAAAACGCTTCATCAAATAAACCGATTCATTGTTTTCGAATTCTCAAGCCAAAGAGTAAGGACAATCATATAGGTTCACCATTTTAAGGATGTCAAATAACCATAATACGTGTTACAGACTATGCCACTCTGTACCAATGAAATGCATTTTTACAGCCTCACGCTGTATCCCACATTAGCTAGACAATCGGCTCAAAGATGGCGGTAAGGTTGCCAGCCTTACGCGCCGGCCGCGCTTTACTCTCCAGGAAAATTATTTAATTTTTTCCTGGTACTCATTTCTGTTAGAGGCTGAGTCGACCCCAGGGCCATAGTGCGGCTGGAAGGATTAGGTCAATTGAAAAAAAAATCCAATGAACTCATTGGGACTTGAACCCGTGACCTTCCGGCTTGTAGCATAGTGCCTCAACCAACTACGCTACAGCTGTACAGATTATTAATAACAGTTGGACTAAATTAGTAATTTTCAGAGCAGGATAATTGTCTTTTCTATTTATAATAGTATTATATACAGTGCATCACTCACCTTTGTCTGGATTATTTGTCTCAAGAGGACAAATATTCACATAAACTGGCTCTCAGAATGGCGCTCGAAATATATTAAAACACAACGCCATGTTGGCAGCAGTTTCCTCCGTGTAAATATACCGAAGACGGTCAATACGAACTTCGGGTGACACGGAGTACAGAATTAATTGATAGATGGCACACAGCGCCACATACATGCAGCGCCATGTGAACAGAAGTTGATCTACTAACGCGCCTCCCTCTTTAGCCCTGTAGGTAACGTAATGTGATGGTTAAATTGGGGCATGTGAGATGAGCTAGGCAGGGAACGCCAAAATTCGGATAGGTAAAGGTAAAGTTGGACCGGTCACGGTAGCCGAGCGGTCTAAGGCATGCACTGTCTTCGCTCGCTCCGAAGCCGGGATCGTGGGTTCGAATCCCACTCAGGACATGGATGTTTAGTGTCTGTGTGCGCGTTTTTCTGTGTTTGTATACAGGTAGAGGCCTTGCGACGAGCTGATCACCCACCCAAAGAGCCCTACCGAATGTCTAAGATCTAATAAACCCGAGTGAAACGGAGAGTTTCATGGAGGTAGGCTAAGGACCCAAATTGGGGCTGTAACGCCAAAAGGAAAAACGGTAAAATTGTCGTTGTGCTTAACTAATTAAGCACTATGTCTTGAAGACGTATAGGGGAGCAGATGTATAGATCCACGTTTTCTTGACCTCTGCACTAGTTGGAGTTGAGTGGGGGCACGTGGTAGCGTAGTTGGTTGAGGGACTATGCTACAAGGTCGCGGGTTCAAGTCCCGAATAGGTAATTAGATTTTTTTCAATTTACCTAATCCTTCCAGCCGCAGTATGGCCCTAGGGTTCACTCAACCTCTAACAGAAATAAATACCGGGAATTAATTAAATAATATTCCTGGGGAGTAAAGCGCGCCCGGCGCCTAAGGCTGACAACTTTACCGCCATCTTTTAGCCGAGTGTCTAGATAATGTGGGACCCTCAACGTCTCACAACCCTATGGGCCTTCACGGCCTGGTACAGGGATAGCTTCACTTTTTTTTGCTTTACAGTAAAATGATTTATCATAACAGTATTTTTTTTAAATAAGCATGCTTTGTTTAGGTAGGCTAATTTTTGTAGAAGGCGCCATTTTCCTTCAAAACGCTGGTAACACCTTACCGGTCTACACCATGTCATTATCCAGAATATTATGACTCATCGTCGCCGTGAAAGCATCAAATCTAGCATTTTAGCCATATTAAAACGAAGTCAGAGTTTAACTACGAACGAGTCTCACAACAGTGCCTACTCTTCGGCTTGTTTTATTAAAAAAAATGTCAATTGGTCCAAAACACAAACTTATTCATAGAGAAAAAATATTTCATTAATACTCGTAAAACCTAAAATAAATTCAGTACTGTAGGTATCGTTAACACAATATAACTAGAAGCACAAAGCCGTTAGAGAACGTTGCCTGAATGAGGGCGGAATTGGGCTGCACGTGCGTACTACGGTCTGTCCCGCTACTGCTGCAAGAAAAGAACATGCATTTCACCACGTGACAGATATTTTGACAGGTTCATGTCTTAGCATCCTTTCGGAAAGCTGACTCCGTAGTCTAGGGGTAACGTTCCCACCTCATGACTCAAGGTACGCGGGTTAAAATCCGGCGTGGAATTTTTAAAGGCGGAAAAATTCAGGAAACAAGTCCTCCGGGAGGGACTTTAAGCCGTGTGTCCCGTGTCGTAGCTTTACGGCACGTAAAAGAACCTCTGGTAGATGGGGGAAGCATCAAGGTACCGAGGGCTGACCTCGTTGGCTGAACGGGGCTGATAGCACGCACCGTTACCGGTAGGGTATGGCGACAGTAGAAATTAAAGGGGGACGCACAATGGACCAATAACTGGCCTAAGTGCATTGGGAAACCCACCCCCTCTATAATAATAATAATAATAATAATAATAATAATTCAATTCAATTCAATTCAATTCATGTTTATTTACGTACAATAACTTAACAGCAGAGTGGCCAATTAGAAAGTTAGCACGAGTATATAAGGTACACAAAATAATTAAAACAAAATACAAATATGACAAATAAATCTGTGAGCATAAATCTAAAGAAGACTTAAATATATACATACAATTATGGATTATTACGAGTGTTGCTAATACTATTAGTAACGAAATAGTAAGATAAGACAACTGGGAGTGATAAAATTAATAACAAATCAATAAATTAAAACCAATTACATAAGAAAATTAAAGTTGGCCGAGGTATACACATTTGTAACACTAATCCAGTAACACCGTAAAAGGTTTGGTACCTGCATGTAAAATATGATTCAGAGAAACCGCTCCGTCTGCAAATATGTGGAGATCTTTACCCACC